CAGGCAGGAGTTTAATTTTATCTTACACTGCTGATTTAACAACAGTTCATAGTAAAGACAGTATATACCAGATAAAGTATACAAGAATAATACTGAAAAGACTATATGTATGGATTTAGGAGGTTCTTGAAATTATGCAAATGCAATATGCAAACTGTATAATGGACAAAAGTATTTCTATTCTCCACATAAGTATCACCTTGCACTTGTTGGAGTCAAGATCAAATTGAGGATGACAATTCACAGACATTTTTGAGTGCAAATATGTTTGTAACACTTCTGATTTTTTGTTTACAACATATTTGTACATTTGACTAAAAGCTTGCTACATTTTGTGTAAATACATATAGAAAATTCATAACTATAGTCAAGATTCTTTCTCCAATACAAGGCTGGTCCAATGGACTGACCTCATGCACATTTGGTTAAAATTGAATTCTTGACCATTTTGCCTATCTCTCCCTTAAACTAACCAGTGGGTCTCCATTCCTTGTTGGTAAAGTATCCAAATGAATTCTCTAAGCTGCCTTATGAATCACCCACATGATGACGACCATTATGCTCACGACTTCTAGAGTAAGGGAGTGGACTACACTGCAAAAACTAGTACCCTGGTAGACAGACTGATGTACAACATGGCTAAGCCCATAGAATTAAGATGCATTGCTAGCCAACACATCAAATATGGCAAAGCTCACCATTTCTGTCACCAGGTTGGCTCTGAGGCCTTAAAGGTGAGAGAATTCCAATCATCAGTGGTAGATCTAGTAGAAATCAAAGCTACACTGGACATGCTTGTTACTGAGGAAGTCACAACAATAACAACTTTATTGACTCTAGAGTTAAACATCCTAGCAGCTATCCTCACCAGCACCAGGGAGGAAGAAATGAGATATTTTTGTAAGATGTCACATTAGAATGTGTAATGTATCTACTCATTAACATTGCCAAATGTATTCCCACGGTCAGAAGGTACACTAAGTCCCAAAGCTGAGAAATACCTTTCCGAGGCTTGAATCATCTCGAGGCTCTACTAGTCTCTGGGAGGAACAGATCTTGGATTATATGAGCCAAAAATACCTTTCCAGAGCTTGGATAGTGTTGAATGTCTATCAGGCTCTGGAAAGGAAATATTCTGAATCATATCAACCACCACTAAAGTTCTGATTACCCGAGCATACACAATTACTGTGACTAGCAAGCATTACAATGGCAGTAGAGATGAGGCTCACCTCCTTGGCCACCAATACCAAGGGTCTACACTGTTAATTAAGAGGTGGCAATATCAACAGAAAGAGTGACTACCATCCAAAAAAGGAGGACAAGGATATGGGCTTATATCTTGGCAGCCAGTGAGGTATAAATCCCAGAGAGTCAAAGGTGGAGATCCCAACAAAACCACATAATATGCTGACCATCCAACTTACACTTGAGCAGATCCCAGTATTCAAGAGACACTGCCAGGAAACTGTCATTAGATGACTGGTTGGAATGAGTCTTGAACTCCTTACAACAGAGGAAAGGATTAACTACAGTGAAGGCCATTATGGTAGCCAACTATAAGACAATGGCAGTACTGAAAAACCTGCTGGTGGGGCTTAGGTGAGAATGAGCAGAGTTTCATTCCAAATGTAGATGAAATCATATTTTGTATATTTCTCTCTAACTATGGGCTCGGTCCTAGGGACCAACCTCATAACTGTTTTGTGCTTGTTATAGTTTTCATACTATAACTTTTAATAATCATGCGTATCTACACAAAATTTTCCAGATTACCAGTAAACATTACAAGGCTTTCGTACACAAATTATCAGATATTTTTAATAAAATTACGATTTTTATGTAATGATGTGCTCATGCATTTTTTCTTTTCAAATATTGACTATCCAACATGCAAAGTAATTTTTATTTTAAGATTAAAAATACTTTCATGCATCAGAAAATTGTCAAATTTCACATGCAAAATCTTTATAACCTTCTAATGAACTCCAGGTAATTATCAAATGTTCTATTTGAGACAAAACTTTATGGTTTATTTATTATTTTCAGTATTGTTTCCCTATATGTGTTTGGTCGACTTGACTGACCGCGTAACCACCATAAAAAATGAGAAAATAGATATAAATTACACTTTTTGCATTCTAGAATAACAAGAAACCACAAATCTTTAGCCTAAATAGCTTACATCTCATAACATTATACACCTATATATATATTTATAATTTTTATTTTATTGGCCTTTCAGCCATATCTGACTAACATCAAAGATGTTGCAGTGTCATGGTGCACATGCACTCAAGTTACCATATCCAACAGTATAAAGTGACCTGTCTTGGCTTTGTTTTAGTGGACCAATATTTTGTAAAATAGAGTTACATTTCAGTTATGATACATTATGTATGTATATATGTTATTACTATTTACAAATAAGTTATTAAATTTCAGTTATTTTACTTAAAACATAGGATAGTAAAAAGATATATAGAAAACAATGATCTCTACTACTTACGATTGTAAAGAAGTTTGTACTCGCTTGCCATACCTTGCATGCTAAGCATTGCTGACTTTCACACATCAAATTTTTTTCTTTTATATATGCATTTTGAAATAACAAAAAAATATAAATTACTCTATCAATATTGCTGTAATTGATCAGGCTTACTAGCTAAAATGTATTTGGGTTTAAAAATTTTTTTTTCGAACAGCATTTTCACTTACCCCTTCCTTTTGAGATTCGAGACAAAAGAAATAATCTTAAGAACTTTGCAACTTCAAGAGGATGAAAAAAACAGAAGGGGTAAATTCTGAGCTTTTGGTCGGTTATAAACACATGATTGAGCAAAGCAAGTGTACTTAAGGAAGTACTTCCAAAAATAGCCATTGTGTTTAATTCACTAAACATAGTGATATCTCAGCAAATAAAAAAAGATAAAAGGTTCTTTTTTACATTCTAGCTTGTCAATATCAGTAATTTGAGTTTCAAAGTCTATAGATTCTTATGAAAAGCTGCATTCAATATACCACGTGACACACAAAAATTGATATTTAGGAATTTTGTTGTGGTTAAGCACAAAACTACACAATGGGCTATTTGTGCTCAGCCCACTACAGGGATTGAAACCTGGTTTCTAATGTTGTAAGTCTGCAGGCACTGGATGGCAAATTTTGTTTAATATTTCCTTTTAAATTAAGAAATTAATTAATGAATAATACCAAAATTTGAATTATAATCTACAATCTGATACTGAAACACAATCATGAAATATTACTTTAATAACATTTTGAATGTAAGTCTACAAACATGATGATATGCTCTATGACCCTTGACCACAGGAAAACCCATAGGGATAGGGTTAACATATTCAAGTATTATATAAGAGAGTGTTTATATATATAACTTTGTGCTTATTCTTAATGCTGATTGTTTTTCTGTAAATCATGAAGGATTTTTGTTTATAATATTTTGTATTTCAATTTATGTATTTCAAATGTTAGATGAAAAGGTTTTGTTATTCTGATTATTTCTTTTCATTAACATTGTATTGTACTTTTTGTATTTGGAGGAACAGATGTTATTCAAAAGCTTTAATGTAAGGATAATTGGTAATAATTCATTAAGTAAAGCATATTCCAATATAGTACTTTCCTCCACTCACAATATTAGCTTTTCCTATTTTGTGCTGCCCTCTATATGCAATTTTTTTTATATCACATGCCACAAGCCTTCTGCAACCCCCTATTAGAATCAAGGATTCCAACATCTCTCATGCAAATCATCATGTGTCATTTCTCCATCAATAGAAGAGCATTACTATCACCTGACACATGTGACTCCCTCTATGCACCACGACCGAACCACCACTTCTTGTTTAGCAGTGCTTGAGTTCAGACATCTATCTTTTTGCTCATTATTTCTTGAAGTGGTTTAACTTAATTTAATCTACTTTATTTCAAGAATTTTTCACTTCACTTTGAAAGCATTTGATTTACCAGTATTTTGTTGCAAATTTCTCACTTGTTTGTTTGGTATCAAGCTTAACTTTCAAAGTCAACATTACCACTTCAGGTACATCCCAATCATGTGATGCCATACTTCAGGCCACAGGTGCGGGCGACCCGTCGGGAGATTTATTCGCAGGGAGATCGAGCATTATATGGAACAACCTTTGTCTCTTGCTGTTGCCCCTCTTCCTCCTAAGCCTTTTGTCTCCCCCACACACAGAGTTTGCTACACCTTTACAAACCCTACCTGAGCATTCTGTTCGGCCCTCATTGACTTTCTGGATTATATTTCTCAGGTATGTTATGTTTTGTCGATTGCTCCTATTTCTTATGACCCACATGATTCTGCCTCCCAACCTTATTTAGTTTTTCCCCATCCCCTGATATGCATGTTCAGACTGAGCATTTCACCTCCCAGTTAGGTGATGGCATTAGGATGCCTTGTCCCCGGTGGGCTTTGAATCAGTCCACCCTCGCTTATCATAAGGTGGACTGTCCATATCTGAACCCAACAATTGTTGAGTTCAATTTTGCCTGTTTAGGAGGCAGGATGTGAACCTTCCATTCATTTTACCCATGCACAGTATTCTCACCTTCATCTTACCCTGACTACTCTTTTGCAGTAACTCTCCTCGATACATCTGCTGTCTGTGGCTCTTCACAGGAACCATGAGGGGTTTACTGGGGACATCCCCTCCTCACTTCCACATTGGCTTATCTCTCATCTTCAGCTCTGGTGCTGCAAACGTGATTTATTTATTGTTGGGACATTTTGTGTCATGATACCATATTCTCACGGACCTGTCTCCTGGCCCCATATCTATAGGACCTTTGTATGGCCCTGTTTATTAGATGTTAACATGATTCCATCTGGTGGCCCATTCCTCCTTCCCACAGTGCCATTACTTATCATTTTTCACAAAGACACATGGTACGCCAATAACGGCACCATACATTTTCTATCAGGTGGTGCGAACCTTTGCTCTAAATCTTCATGCCCTGGGTTTGTGCTTTCACTTTTACATGGATGACTGGCTTCTTCTCGCTCATTCCGAACAGGAGTTGGCACCTGTCAAACTCGTCAGCTCCTTCTCGATGCTGGTTGATCCTACCTAGTGCTTCATTCATCTGGGTGTTTTCTTCAACACCCATCTCAGTTGGGCCCAACCTTCTCCTCTTACTGACCTGCTCAACAGTGGTTTCCTCGATTACTCCATTCCTTTTCCTTTATTCCCTGAACATCTTCATCAACCCCAGTTGCCAGTTCTGTATCCTGCACTTCACATTCTCCATCTTCAAGCCTGGCTTTTGTCCAGTCCCTGTCAATAAGATCCAGTTTCTCCTGTCGAGTGGCATCTCATTTAGCTCATTCTGTTCGTCCTTCATCCATAGCAGTATATCAGCAAAAATGGAATGTTTTTTGCACCTGAGCCCTGGCTTGGGGTATCCAACTGTAGCAGTGGAATGCAGTGCAGTAGCATATGTCCAGGATGGAGTGGGGAAAAATAACTTCCGAGCCTCAGGGTAAGAAATGTTATGGACAGTATTTAAATGTTGTACCTCTTTCTCCTCCACCACTTAGGGCAAGATCAACGGTAAGAGGGATGGGAACCACCACAATTGATGCAGTGAGGGTCCAATTGACACTTGTAGACATCAAAGAACCACAACAAGATGCCTTTGAATGTCCGAACTACTGACACTGGAAACACTGGAAAGGGTTAGGAATATATGACCATATGTTACAGTTAAGATAACCCACCTTGACAGAGGCAGGTGAATGTGGTGATGTAAACATCTGAATGAGAACATTGGTCGGCAGCATAATTCCATCCTTGTGAGTGGAGATGTGTCGTACAGCAGAAACTTCTTGGCTGGAGAAACCAGCAAGGATCTCAGACTCGGGGATGTTTATCAATTCCCTCTTAACAATCACTCCTCAAGAGGAATTCAAAGTAGCATGGGGAGTAACCTCGATGGGTATATCCCCAATGACCTTTGACCTCAGGAGGAGTTTGCTATATGTAGGTGTAGTTGTTTCACCAAGATGTCTCCAGAGTGCAACTCCCTGACTGACTTGGGAGTGCCAGCAAGCCCCTCTTATCCCTTCTGAATGAAAAAGAGAGACATTTTCCCTCAGGATTTGTCAGATAAAGAGTGAAGAATTAAAAATCTAGGTACAGGAACTGACTTTGGTGGTGGCTGTGGAACCGAGTCGACTATGTGTGGTCATTTACCTATTAGCTGTTTTTTACAGGTTTATTTTTTCTAGGATTGGGGGATCCACAATAAATAGAGAATGATTCACTGCCCACTGACCCAACCCACCATGGAGTCTTACGAGGGGGATGCACTACAATGCCAAACAAGGACACTGTAGCTTCGTGACACAGGGCTTCATTAGCACTATACCCAAACACCAGCATCAGACACAATGTCCACAACACCCATTGAGAATGCCCAATACTGGTACTCAGTTGACCCTAGTGCAACAGGACTGGCCGATTGACCCTGGGGGTGTCACCTGTCTACAGGAATTCAAGGCTAAAGTGGTGTGTTGCAGTGCCCCAGACAACACTCAACCACCAGGATCCTCTCCTTTCCTTCATGGATCACCACGCATGGCAAACATGTGGGTGGATGTTCAGATTCCAGAGAAGGTAACTGAAAATACAGAACCTTCCCTGGGAGGTCCCCTCAACACATACAAGAATCCACCTCGATGGGGATATTAGACAAGGGAGAGAAATAAGTTCTATAAAGACCAATAACAAAGTGGATTTTCATTACAGTGGGATGGAATAGTCCACTTGTGACTGGAAGATCCCACTCATACAAATCAAGTTAAAAGAACTACTTTTGAAAGTAGATCTGCTAAACTTCTTGAACAATCAGAAAAACACTAAAAATTGTGTATATAATTCCATGTTTCAGACTCCAAACATAGACTTCTCCACTGTTATCAACTTGCCCAAGAACCTGATCTGACTCCAGAAGAATATGGCAGTAATCCACAATCTACAAGAAGTTCGCTGCACAACTCTTTGTAAGTATGCTACTTCTGATCTAGTCCAACAGCATTTCACTTAAGGTTCAACAATGTATAAAAACAGAAAAGTGAAGAATACTAACTGTACTAAAGAAACAGTTGATTTAATATTGTTTATAGTGGAACTACTGAAAGATATTTTAGAAGAATTGTTAATGCAGTTATACAGATTATGACCAAGATAATTTCTCATGTTAACTTAGTTTGTAACTTAACTAATGATGTGTCTATATTATTGAACATAATAGAAGGTATTAATGAACATCTAGACTTTCAAAGGGCAGAATTCAATGACTTAGAGTTAGTGTTGTTTCAAGACAACCTTGAAAATTTCAATTTAAATGAACTGTTCAATAGTATATAAATAAAGAAGTTATTTGATCTGTAGTCAGTTGTCTCTGTGCGAGTTCTTTATTCCACATGTAAACTTCTTTGAGTTGGTGGCTTGTGTGCTCCGCTCGTGACAGCATGACCCAGAATCCAAATAAATTTCATTGTAAGGAGTGTAACATCAAATCCAGTGACTAAGCCCATGGGCTGCTCACACGCCTGTAACAATAAGATTGTTGGTTCTCCTCTACAGATAGCCTGGATATCACCTGTCTTCTCCCAAAGACTGAACAAGGTTACTGATATGTGCTGTTCATTACTGATTAATTCATAAAGTGAAATGAGGCTTATCCATTGGTTGATACTTCAGCACAGTCCACTGCTAATGTATTGGCAAAGCACTGAATATCTCAATTTAGTCGCTTGAAGAAATACACAAGGATCTGATTCATGGAACTAATTTTAATAGCCAACTGTTTTCAAAAATCTTGCAAATCTGTTAATTTTGGCTAAACCACTTTTGGATTGGTTCTTTTCACATATCATGATGACATACCATGCAACTGAAAAGAGATTGACTGGTTGTTTATCAAACATGGACATATATTTTCAATAAATATTGCTCCTTGTGTATGTGATGGATGATCCATCCTCCCTCTAGAGCAGAAGTGCTTCAATGGAGTGCCTAAGGTCTTCAGTGGCCAATATGCTCATGTTTTCATTCTCATGACTAAGTATGGCTTTGGTACCACCAGTAACAAAAAACCAGCTCAGCTCTAACTAAACAGGTCCTTATCTCATACTCCATGAGACAAGTCTTGTGGTACACATAAGAATGTGTAGCACATCAACAAATTAAGACCATATATTACTGATGAGCCCCTTGTGTACTGGCTTGACTGCAAATAAAATGTTGAGACTAAGAAGTCAGAAGAAAAGAGTACTGTTTCATATCATGTCAGCTCAGTTGATGAGAAGGAAGATGCTGAGAGTGCATATTAGGTTGAGAAAGATGAGGAAGTGCAGGGAAAAGAGGTGCCAGATAGCTCTAGTGGTCAGCTGAAAAGCTGTTTGCTACTGTTTGGATTAGGTACCAGACCAGCAATTAGAATATTTACTGATTTCTAGATTAATAACTGAAAGGAAGTGGTAAACTTTTAATTGGCATTCTATATTAGAGCAGACCTCACTAGTAATTCTTTAAGTGGGATACAACGTAATGCACATAAAGACAAAAAGGAAAAATACAAATCAACTCAACTATTCTCGAAGCAATAACACATGAATGATATTCATATTTTTTCTGATGACAGATTAGTGTGAGAGTTGAGTTTTATGTCTAGTATTAAATAAGCTGAGATGTTTATATGAATCTGTAATGTTTCAATTGTATATTTATAACCACTTGTAACTTCATTTTGTGAATTGTTAGTAATTGCGTAGTATTTTTTGTTGAGAGTGTTAGTATGTATTTAAAGGTAGACAAAACAGTTATAAGTGAGAAAATTTTTTGAAAATCATAATATATTACCTATTTTATTTCTAGCATATACAGTGTCAAAAATGGGCTCTAGTAAAGAAGTTCAAAATAAAACATTTAATGAGGAGCAATGTTTTAGGAGACAAAATATCTGAAAGGTATTTGTATTTTAATAAATGGAGCTCTTGGTTTCCAAAGCCAAATCCTCTCTTTCTTTCCTTGCATGCAAGGTTCTATCTCTTTTGGGGACCTGGGCATCCACGAAAGCCCTTATACCTTAGGGTCATAAATACAGTGGGCATTGCATGATCAATGGATTCCATCATAATCCTCCCTCCTTCCCTTCACATCAATTTTACCAGGTGGCTCAACAAAGAAAACACCTTGGCTGGCACTCCTTAGCCTCCTCCTCATCCCAAGTTGCACCTGTTTATAGATGCTTCTCTCACAGGATGGGTGGCTTATATGGATTATCGGGAGATCACGAGCCATTGGTCAGTGGTCAAATCTTCTCTCCACATCAATCTATTGGAACTTCTTGCCATTCGTTGGGCTTTGGTTCATTCATTACCTTCAGTACGGGGCCATTTGGTAATGATCCATTTTGGCAATTCGACCATTTATAGTCACTTTGTTTTTGAATGTTGGATCTCCTTTTCTAGGCTCAATCTCAGCAAATCTGCCTTCTGGCTTGTCATATCCTGGGTGCTCTGAATCTTGTATCAGATTGGTTATCTTGTCCCAGCAAGATTCTGTCCATGGAATGATACCTAGCTTCAATGTTGGTTATGCTCCCAGTTTGGTAATACTCTTCTGGTTGCATTTGCCACACATCTCAATTCCAAACTACCCTTATTCTGGTTTCACATCCTTTGGCTTCGGCTATGGATGCATTCAGTCAGTATTGGATCAATCATTACTTTTATGCCTATACTCCTATCCATTGGTTATGTTATGATAGTCGTTTAAATATTTATTTTTTTGAGGATGGATGTGCAAGTACAGCCTCAAAGGACCAAATGGCTTATTTTTGTCCATAGGTTATGTTATGATCACAACTACTAATTCCATACATAATTTATATTTATCTTGAACTTCAAATAGCAAGTTAGGGGTAATATACTATTAGTGGTTGCATTAACAGTGACATGTATCACTTTGCTGCATCATTCAACATATTTCAAGTACTCTTAAATTAAAAGTTAATGGTATTACATAAAATTCTTGAATAGATATATAATTTTCCCAGAGCAATCTACAGATTTCTCAGTTCATTTACCACATGATTATCTT